AAGTAATCTGATGTAAATAAAATACTTTGATTTGACAAGCATTAATTACTTGAGGGAAAGTGGAAAATTAAGTCAGTCATACTTATTCATATTATGTGGGACTGATGTACACAATAAAATCAAGTAAATTGGAGGAACTTTTTTTTTTCAGTGTACATAACACTGTAGCTAGGCTTTTTAGAGGAAAAGATACCAAAAAGGAGTACTGAGCTTTGGCAGTTCATGAGGGTCAAATAATGGGTTCTGAGTTGACATGTGGTCTCTGAACCAAGCACACAGACTTGAAGACTTGGGGACACTCACAATCAAGAATTGCATTGCAGCATAGTAATTTTTCCATATCCATTTTGTGCTATGTTAAAAAAAAAAAAAAGGAGATACTGTGCAGAAAAAAAGAGCCAGACAGTCATTCTTTGAAAAAACAATTTTATCCTAGAAAACTGTAGTGTAAAGTTATTAAAAAAAATTAGGGTTCTTTCACTACAAAAATAGATTCTAGACTGATGCTAAAACACCCAGCATTGTGAGAGAGTACCAAAATATTTCCTTGTGTGATCTAAATAGCAGCCAACCCCAGTTACAACAGATCCACAGGTAAAGAGTCATTTATATATTAAAAATATTTCAGCACAATAGTTTATAATTACATTCCTAAATTACAGTATTTATTACCTGCAAAAGAAAAAATATTAAAATCAGAACATGCACAAAAATTGCAGTAGTGCATCAGTACCTATGCGTGGTGTAAAGAATGTGTAATGCTAATTAAATGATAAGTCAAAATAACACGCGCACACACATCAATCATCTCAGGCATCACTGAACATGTTCCACTGATTTTCTGAATAGCATGAAGCTCATTAACATAAGAAGAAAAAAACATTAAAAGTTAAAATCATGCCAACTTTGTAGATATAAATTTAAAAAGTTAAGACATGAAAAAATATAAAGACTAAGCATGAAGTGAAAACGCATGATTTGTGTTACATCAATGTTGTATAAACAAACAAAACCAACAAAGAACCCCAAACAAATTAAAATCGTATCACCTAATTCAGACTGAAACGCGCGTTTCCTCTGCGTTTCAGTGTCTCAAGAAGTTGTCAAGTTTTTTTTACAGCAACTTGTTGTTAATTTAACACGTTATAATTTTGGACACAACATGTTTTTGCAGGTAGAAATGGGCTTTCCTACAACAAATCACAAATCTAAACTACACAAAATATTTATCAATGTTATTTAAAATCATCCCCCAAATTTCTTCTTCATGTCTCTATGAGGAGATGAAGGCCAGTAAGATATACAGCAGAGTACAGTGACTAGATAGTGATGCTGGTAGTGATAAAGGCCATTAGAACATCAAGTGAATTTAAACAAACAGTTTTTTACCAAACAAAACAGCTCAGTAGCTTCCATGTCAGATGTAGAAGGCTGATTTGAAGGGATCCGGTCACACGCCAGTAATGTGCCTCATCCAGCTTTGGGTTTAAATGGGTGTGGCCATGCTATGGCAGCAGTGTATGGTCCTTAGGCACATGTGGTGTCTCTTCCTTCACATTCTTTGCACCATTACTGAGCCAAAGCCCTAGATGTTCAGAAAGCACTTCTGACAAGAGCCTATTGGTGTCTCTATGAAGGGGCCAGTGTGAG